TTTTATTGCTGATTAGTATTGTATATTACAGTTTGTCTAACCATTCACCTATTAAAGGACATCTGGGTTTTTTCTGGTTTTGGGCTATTATAAATAATAAAGCTGCTATAACATTTCTGGACAATTTGTTTAAACAACAATATTTTTTTTTGTTTCTCTGGGATAAGTGCCCAGGAATGCAATATCTGTGTTATATAGTAGTTGCATGTCTCATGTTTTTGGTTGTTGTTGATAGCACACAAGAGGAGGGAAGGCAGAGAGAGGGAAAGAGAATCCCAAGCGGGCTTTATGCTCTGCAGGGAGCCCAACATGGGGCTCTGTTTCACCACTGGGAGATCATAACCTGAACCAAAATCAAGAGTTGGAGCCTTAACCGACTGGGCAACCCAGGCACCTGTATGTTTAATGTTTTAAGGATAAGCCAAACTTTTTTCTATTTGTGGAATGAAAATGACTGTACCATTTTCCATTCCCTCTTGGAGTGAGTGAAAATCCAGTTTCTCTACATGCTCACTAGCATTTGGTGTTGACACTTTTTAATGTTAGCCGTTGATAGATTTATACTCATATTTTGTGGCTTTAATTAGCATTTCTGTATTGATTAATGATATGGAACATATTTTCCTGTAATTACTTACTTTTCAGTGAAACGTCTGTTCATGTCTTTTGCCATTTCCTAAGTCAGTTGACTAGTTTTATAGTGTTCAATTTTGGAACTTCTTTATATTGTCTAGATACTGGTCTATCCTTTGTTAGACATGTAGTTTGCAAATATTTCTCCTACTCTGTAGTCTGTTTTTCCATCTCCTTAACAGGGTCTTTGCAAAGCAGAAGTTTTCAATTTTGATCAAGTCTTAACTTATCAACTATTCCTTTTATTGATTGTATTTTTAGTGTCAAAATTAAGAACTTTGCCTAACCCTAGATCCTAAGAATTTTTTCCTAAAGGTTTTATAGTTTTTACCTTTTAGCTTTAAATTTGTGATCCATTTTTTAAGGCAAATTTTGTGTAAGGTGTAAAACTTAGGTAAGGCTTCATTTTTTTTTTTTTTTTTTTTTGCCTATGGTTTTTTTTCCTACTTGTTAAAAAAGTTACTTTTCCTCTATTGAATTTCTGTTGTTAAAAATCAATTGAGTTAGGGGTGCCTGGTGGCTCAGTGGGTTGAACGTTCAGCTCTTGATTTCAGAGAGAGAGGGAGAGAGAATCCCAAGCAGGCTGACAGCTCAGAGCCTGATGGTGGGCTCAATCCCTTGAACCATGAGCTCATGACCTGAAGCAAAATCAAGAGTGAGATGCTTAACTGACTGAGCCATCCAGGCACCCCTATTTAGGTCTTATTTGATTTCTTTCATTAGTGTTTTGTAGTTTTCAGCATGTATGTGCCATACATGTTCTGTTAAATTTATGCCCAAGTATTTTAGGTTTTTTCCAGCAATCGTAAATGGCATTGTATTTTTAATTTTTGTGTTCGTATGTTTGTTGCTTATTATATAGAAATAAGGGAGTTGGGTGGCTCAGCTGGTTAAGTGTCCGACTTCAGCTCAGGTCATGATCTCACAGTTCGTGGGTTCGAGCCCCGCCTCAGGCTCTGTGCTGACGGCTCAGAGCCTGGAGCCTGCTTCAGATTCTGTGTGTGTCTCTCTCTCTGCCTCTCCCCTGCTCATGCTCTGTCTGTCTCTCAAAATAAATAAACATTAAAAAATATTTTTTTTAAGAAACAGAATTGTTACATGCTTATCTTTATTCTACAACTTAGCTAAAGTCACCTAATGTAGCATGGTTTGGAAGTTTGGGGGAGGTTTTTTTTCTTTAATTTCTTGGGATTTTCTGTGTAAACAATCATGTCATTTGCAAATGGGGGCAGTGTGAGGTCTTCCTCTCTGATGTGTATGCCTTTCATTTCCTTTCTTGCCTTATTGCACTGATGAAAAGTTCTAGCACTATGTTGAATAATTCTGGTCAAAACAGACATTTGTGCCTTGTTCCCAATCAGGGAGAAAGCATTCAGCCTTTCATTATTAATTATAATGTTTACTGTAAGTTTTTTATACATGCTGTTTACCAATTTCTTTTAAATTTGTTCATGTCTTTATATCCTAGAATATGCTCTATCTTGGGATATGTTCCACAACACTTGAAAAGAATATGTATTTGTTGAGTGGAGTGTTGAGTACAAATGCTGATCAGATCCTATTGGTTCATTGCTGTCACTTCATTCTTCTATGAATGTCTTTCATTTCTATCAGTTTTTGCTTCCTGCATTTTGTAGCTCTGTTGTTTGGTGTATACACACTAAGGATTGCTATATCTCCTTGACAGATCCACACTTTTATCATTATATAATGTCTTTCTCTTTCTGTGGTAATTTTCTTTACTCTGATGCCACTCATCTGATATTAATATAGCCTCTCTGATTTGTTTTGATCAGTATTTCTATGTTATGTTTTTTCCATCATTTTGCTTTCAACTTGTATATGTTATTATATTTGACATAAGTTTCTTGTAAATAGCATTAGTCATTTTTTAATCTACTCTGTCGATCTCTATCTTTAAATTGGCATTTTTAGACCATTTACGTTTATGTAATAATTGATATGTAGGGTTTTAAATCTATCATTTTATTCTTGTTTTTTTTATTCTGTTCACCGTTTTTAGTTTCTCTATTTTCTCTTTCCTACTTTTCTGTTCCTTACTTGAACATTTTCAGAATTCTATTTTTATTTATCTTAGTGTTTTTGAGTGTATCCCTTTGTATAGCTTTTTTAGTGGTTGCTAAAAGCACTAGGGTGGGTGTGACGTTCTTACAACATCACCGTATGGAAATGCTGACTCCTTACCAGGACTCCTCCAATACCAGTGGGGATGGAGAGGTGCACTCCATGACTGCCCAGAGGAGGTATAATTCAAGGCTCACCCTATGGTCTCTATTGATGCTGCAATGGTGGTAGTAGTGATGGGAGGAGGAAACAGGTCTGTTAGTACCCTTGAGGGATGAAAATCCCTACGGTGTTCAATCCTTGCTTGATCATCTCTGATACCGCCCTGATGGAAAGTAGAGGAAGTGTTGGGGTACCTCATTACAGTTTGGCAAGGATGGAAGTTTAGACTCTCTACTCAGCCAGTTTGTGGGTGGAGCCAGTTGTTTGTTTGTTTGTTGTTTGTTGTGGTGTTTGCAGTCAAATAGTTATTGTCTAAACATTTTCCATCTTACTATGTTGTCTTTTTCCTGCTCTTTTTGTTAAATAGAACAGATGTTTGGTAGGGCTTTTTTTGTCTGCTTCCATTAGCATTTCCAAGTTGCTGGTTTCTTTAGCGCCAGGCCTGAGATAATAAGGCAAAAAAAAAAAGAGAGAGAGAGAGAGAACTAACTTCTGTGTTGCCCTTTATAGTCCAAAGTCCCAAAGTGCCTCCTTCTCTCTACTTTTTAGAGACTTCCTATGTTTGTTTTATATATAATGTCCAGGATTTTTAGCTGTACTTAGCAGGAAGAATAGGAAAAAATACTACTACTACTATTACTATCTTTCCAGAAGCAGTTCTACAACTATTTTTAATGTTAACTTAATAACTCATTTAGAAGCCCTATTAATCTTTTTTTTTTTTTTACAATCCTCTTTTTCATGCTATACAGCTAATTAGAAGTATGTGTCGTAAGTTCTCTGTAAAAACAGAACCAATAGGAGACCTATATCTATATATGTATCTCCAAATATAAAATAAGGACTTGACCTATGCACTCATTGAGGCTGGCAAGTCCCAACATCGTCAGTGTGAAGGGGCCCGCTGGAACCCAGGTTCCAATCCTAGTCCGAAGGCCTAAGGACTAGGAGAGCTGATGGTGTAGTTGTAGTCTGAAGGCTGACAGGCTTTAGATCCAGGAGGAACTCCTACTTCATTTCAAGTCCAAAGGCAGAAAAAAATTCTCTTACTCAGCAGAAAGTCTGCCTTTTTGTTTTATTCAGGCCTTATCTAATGAGGCCCACCCGCATTAGGGAAGGCAATCTACTTTATTCAGTCTACCATTCAAAGGTTAACTCATCCCAAAACACCCTTGCAGAAACGCCCAGAATAACGTTTGACCAAATATCTGGGTACCCTATGGCCCAACCAAGTTGGGATATAAAACTAACCACCATATTATGCAAACATGTAAAAAATTATGACTACCAGATTGGTTAATTTGAACTCGAATGTGAATTCTGACCAAGGTTGCTCACAAATTCACATTTTGGCTTGACTTTTGAGACATATGGAGAAATTCAAAGAAAGTGAGTAAAGCTTTTCAAAGATTCAAAAAATGTGTTTGAGGAGAACAACCACTAAAATCTGGAAGACGGAATGGCATTTTGCGAAGTAAGAAATTTATGGTTGCTGTGTTTCTTCAGTAGAGCTTTCTAAACAGGAGAACTGTTAAAACTTATATTTTACATGACTCTTAGAGTAAGAATTTATTTTTTCCATTGTTGAAAGATTTAAAAAATTCAAATTAAGTATTTCTAATGGTCTATAATCCTTTTGTCACAGTCTCTTAACATTCCCCCTGGGGCCAGCACTGAGATATCTAGAACTGCTGGTTTTCAGGACAGGCAATATCACTTGCAGAGAGAACTTTAGACTCAAATACATCTGGGTTCCCAGGTGTGTGACCTGGGGCAAATTGCTTTACCCCTCTAAACAGCAACTTTCTTATCTGAAAATGACAAATTTAATATCTGTAAAAGCAGTATAAGTGCTCCATAATTAAACATTTTCAAATCTTAGGCATCTGGATAATCTGCAGTTTTGCATTTTTATAGAAAAGACTGACATCTTGGTGCTTAAATCTCTACATTCTGAATCATTGCCTTGAATTTAGCTTCTTAGAATTGAGTCAAGGATAGAAACTTTTGGAAAGGGGGTACCAAGATTACACCAGCAATGGGAAAAAGAAAGAGAGACAGACAGACACAGAGAGAGAGAGAGAGATGCTTTTCTAATTTTTGAACTTTTTATTTCCTAGAAGCATCAGATGGTGAAGGAGGAGGAGACACAGAAATGATGCAGCAGGAGACAGCTCCAGTTCCTGCCCTGTCAGAGAAAACCAAACAGGTGACCATACTGTGGGAAAGTCACAACTGTTGGATTCTGGAATCAGCTTCTACCCCTCTACACCACTCCTTGTTCTTTAACATCAGTTAGTGGGATTTGAGGGAAGCCCAGATCTTCCTTGCCTTTGGGGGAGGGTGGGGGGGAATATATTTCATTAATTATAAACCAGCAAGGTCTATTTTTCCCCCTAAAATTTTTTATAATATAAATGTATTTTACAATAATGATATCTTAGATTCTTGTCCCACATTTTTACCAAAAATCCAGGATTACTTTTTTTTGGTACAGCTTCTAGGAGAAGACAAATAGCAAAAAGAATGCAAGATTACCCCTCACACCAATGCTTGATTACAGTACCATGCCATGCTGCCAGCAGGTTCCCAGGGTCTCATGTCTACCTAGCATTATGATCCATTGTATAAACATTTATCAGGGGATTTCTGCCTTCAATCTTATCAAAAGTGGCCCTTTGGAATACTTTGTTCCCTGGACTTATGTCACTTAGCATCATACCCTGTAGGTCCATTCATGACATTACAAATGGCAAGATTTAATTCTTTTTTATGGCTGAGTAATATTCCTGTGTGTGTGTGTGTGTGTGTGTGTGTGTGTGTGTGTGTGTGAGTGTGTGACACCTTCTTCTTCCATTCATCTATGGGTGGACACTTACTTGGGTTGCTTTCATATCTTGGCTATTGTTTATAATGCTGCAGTGAACATAGGGGTACATGTATCTTTTTGAATTATTGTTTTTGTTTTCTTTGGATAAATACTGAGTAGTGGAATTACTAGATCATATGGTAATTCTGCTTTTAATTTTTTGAAGAACATCTATACTATTTTCCACAGTGGCTGCACCAGCTTACAGTCTTACAACAGTGCAGGAAGAGGGTTCCTTTTTCTTTACATCTTCATCAACACTTGTTATTTCTTGTGTTTTATTTTAGCCATTCTGACAGGTGTGAGGTGATACCTTGTTATGGTTTTGATTTACATCTTCTTGATGATTAGTGATGTTGAACATCTTTCATGGGTCTGATGACCGTCTGTATGTCTACTTTGGAAAAATGTCCTCTGCTCATTTTTACTTGGATTATTTGGAGGTTTTGGTGTTGTATTAGTTCTTTACATATTTTGAATATTAACTCTTTATTGGATGTATCATTTGCAAATATCTCCCATTCAGTAGGTTGTCTTTTTGTTTTGTTGATGATTTTCTTCTCCTTGCAAAAACTTTTTTATTTTGGTGTAGTCCCAATAGTTTGATTTTGCTGTTTCCCTAGCCAAAGGAGACATATCTAGAAACATGTTTCTAAAGCTGATGTCAAAGAGATTGCTGCCTTTTCTTTCCTTTTAGGAATTTTATCCTTTCAAGTCTCACATTTAAATCTTTAATCCATTTTAAGTTTATTTTTGTGTATGGAGTAAAAAAGTGGTCCGATACTATTCTTTTTCATGTATATCACTAATCATGTAGCTGTCCATTTTTCCCAACACCATTTGTTAAGGAGACTATCATTTTCATATTGTATATCATTACCTCCTTTGTTGTTTATTAATTGGCCATAAGAGTATAGGTTTTTTCTGGGCTCTCTATTCTGTTCCATTGATCTTTATGTCTGGTTTGTGCCAGTACCATACTGTTTGGATTACTATAGCTGTGTAATGTATCTTGAGATCTGGGATTGCAATACTCCCCATTTTGTTCTTCTTTTTCAAGATTGCTATGGCTATTCAGGGTCTCTTGTGGTTCCACACAAATTTTAGGATTATTTGTTCTAGTTTTGTGGAAAATGTTGTTGGTATTTTGATAGGGATTGCATTGAATCTGTAGATTGATTTTGGTTATTAATGGAAATTTTAACAATATTGGTTCCCCCACTCCATGAGTATGGAATATCTTACCACTTGTTTGTGTCATTTTCAATTCCTTTGATCAGTGTTTCATAATTTTCAGAGGACAAGTCTTTCACCTTCCTGGTTAAGTTTATTCCTGGGTATTTTATTATTTTGGGTACAATTGTAAATGGGATTATTTTCTTAACTTCTCTTTCTGTTTCTTCATTATTAGTGTATAGAAGTGCAAAATATTTCTTTATGTTAATTTTGTATCCTGTGATTTTTGGTGGAGTCTTCAGGGTTTTCTGTGTAATATATAGGGAAACTGTTTTCCCAGTTGTAGCTGGGAAAACTGGACAGCCACATGATTAGTGATATACATGAAAAAGAATAATATTGGACCACTTTTTTACTCCATACACAAAAATAAACTCAAAATGGATTAAAAACTTAAATGTGAGACTTACATCTGCACATAATGAGAAGTTCCTTACCAATTTAGATGCCTTTTGTTTCTTTTTCTTGTCCAATTGTGGTGGCTAGGACTTCTAATACTATATTGAATAGAATCGGTGGGAGTGAACATCCCTGTCTTGTTCCTGGTCTTAGAGGAAAAATTCCCAGTTTTTCATGATTGAGTATGATGTTAGATGTGGGCTTTTCATACATGGGCTTTATTATGTAGAGAGGTATGTTCCCTCTAAACCTACTTTGCTGAGAATTTTTCTCATGAATGGATGTTGTACTTTGTCAAACACTTTTTAGGCATCTACTGAAATGATAATATGCTTTTTATCTTTCTCTTGTTGATGTAATGTATCACGTTGGTTGATTTGATAATATTCAACTACCCTTTAATTCCAGGAATAAATCCCACATGATTGTGGTGATTTTTTTGATGTACTGTTGGATTTGGTTTGCTAATATCTGGCTGAGGATTCTTGTATCAGTGTTCATCAGAGATATTGGCCTACATGTCTCCTTTTTTGTAGGGTCTTTATCTGGTTTTGGTATCTGGGTAATGCTGGACTCATAGAAGGAATTTGGAAGCACTTCTTCCTCTTCTAGTTTTTGGAATAGTTTGAGAAGAAAAGGTATTAACTTGTCTTTAAATGTTTGGCAGAATTCACCTGTGAAGCTGTCTGGTCCGAGACTAATTTTTTGATTACTGATTTAATTTCATTGCTGTTCATTCTGGTGAAATTTTCTATTTCTTCCTGATTTACTTTTTGGAAGTTATATGATGTTTCTAGGAATTTATCCATTTCCTCTGCATTGTCCCAGTTGTTGGTGTATAATTTTTGATAATATTTTCTTAGAATTGTGTGTATTTCTCTGTGTCTGTTGTTATTTCACCTCCTATTTCTGATTTGATTTGTGTCTTCTCTGACTAATGTTTTATCAGTTTTGTTGATCTTTTCAAATAACTAGCTCCGGTTCATTGATCCATTCTGTTGTTTTTTAAGTCTTTATTTCATTTATTTCTGGCCTAATCTTTATAATGTCTTTCCTTCTATTGCCTTTGGGCTTTGTTTGTTCTTTTTCTAACTCCGTTAGGTCTAAGGTTAGGTTGTTTATTTGGGTTTTTGTTTTGTTTTGCTTTGTTTTACGCTTCTTAAGGTAGGCTTGTATTGCCGTAAACTTCCCTCTTCGGTAGATTTGCTCCATCCCAAAGATTTTGGATGGTTGTGTTTTCATTTTCATTTGTCTTCTGTATTTTTTTTTTTTCAAATTTCCTCTTGGTTTCATGGTCGACTCATTCATTGTTTAGTAGCATGTTATATAACCTTCATATATTTGTGGTTTTTTCCAGATTTTTTCTTGTGATTAATTTCTAGTTTCATACCATTGTAGTCAGAAAAGATGCATATGAGTTTACTCTTTCTTTGGGTCATTTTCTGCATTCATTGCACTGATTTGGCCACTTTCTAGGTGTATCCGTGGGACAAAGTGAGCTTAGGATTTTCCTACTCTGCCATCTTCCCAGACTCTCCCCTCAGTTTTAGTTTTAACCATTCTTTCAGAAACCTACAGGCTAACATACTTAGCCCTTTGATTTATTTCACCAAGATGGAGTTTAATTTTACCTTAGCTTATCTTGCTGACCACACTATACACATGCCTTCTGTAACCTTTGCCTCTGTAGTATGTACCTACAGAACTTGTTTCTAGATATTTCTTTAGACCCTCATTGGCTTTCATTTTCCTTACTTTCTTGATTTTCTCCTTGCTAGTTTCTCACTTTTTCAGGACTCAGTGCACAAAGACTAAATTTGCCCATGCCTCTACCTTTATTTATTGTCATTTTATCCACTTTGCTAAATTTCTACCTTTTTTTTTTAGCTCCTTCTTCCTTGGCTCTTCCTTTCCTACAACTATCAAGTTAGATAAATGGCAGAGAATCATAGGAAGAAGAAGGGAAAATGGGAGAGGAGAAAGTGAAATACATTCTCCGTTTCTGTGAGAATATATATATTTTTTTTTGTCAACCTAGGCTTTAGCAATAATAAAGGTCATTTATTGATCTCTCATTGTAGGCACGGTACAAGATACCATGACTCAGATGATCCTATGGAGTAAGGGGTATCCTATGCCCTATAAGATAGGGGGTACCCCATTTTACATATTACCTGGGGCTCACAGAGATGGATTCTGAGAGTCATGTCCTGCTTGTCTGGCTGTGAGCCAGGTACTGAGGATGCTGCTACTACCATTTCACCTGTTCTTTCTCTTTCACTTTAGGAAATTGGATTCACCATGTCCTCATATCCTTTCTTGGCCATATGCCATTGCCATTTTCTGCCAAGAAAAAGAATTATGAAGTTTAAGATTGTAGTGCCCATTTTAACAGCCTTTTTCTTGCTCTAATTTCTTTCACTACCAAATTATTTTAAATCTTAGACAGAATGCCCTATCCCCTTTCTCCATGTCTATCCTCATTTATTTAGCCAGAGAACTCACAGGGAAATTTTCTTGTGCCCTCCTACCTCATATGAATGTCCTTTATCTAGCTCCTCATTTTCCTACCAGGAAACGATACCTCCAGGACAGAGTTTAACTGTGCATCCCTATAGCACCTAGCTCAGAACCTCCCCCAAAATTGGTACTCATTATTTGTGTAATGAAAGAATGGATGCCTATACCAAGATCCTAGTTTTCTC